GACAGACACAGACAAACACACACACACACACACACACACACACACACACACACACACACACACACACACACACACACACACAGACAAACACAAACACGTGACTAAAAATTACAAGAAAAACAAAATGACCTGTGGCTCTGCTTTCTGAGCTTGAATAATGACAGGGAACGGCCTGAGAAACTATGCAATTAAATTTCTGTCACAATTTCCATTTCCAGCAAAGCTGAGTCCTGCTGCCAACAAAGTCAAGTAACTAGCATCACTGCAGTTTTATAGCCAGAGTGACCAAGACAGGATGACCAACCAATTACATTTGCTTATTCTCAGCTGGTTTAGGCAAAATAGAAACCGGGGAAAGGTCACACGTTTGCAAGAAATAAGTAAAACACAACAGCAACTTCACTCCAACTCACCTTTCGATATTTAACAAAATAGGCGTTGATTGGACTGCCTACATCACGGCCCGCCCTCCACTCCAGGTCATACACATCAGGCTTGTGAGTCTGAGGCGGGCTGATGATGATCGGTGCCTCTGGAGTAGTGCGGTCGCCGCTCCTCTCAGCTTGCAGGTTGGTGGTGTCGACTTCGTCTTCGGTCAGAAAGTGCTCATGGCCCTCGTCGCTCTGCATGGGGGGAAGCGATGGCAATGCCTCCAGCAGCACACTGGCAGCAGAGCCCAGCTGTGGCTCTGTCAGTAAGGAAAAACAACCAATTACTGGGGCTGTAATGATACAATCATACAGTCAGGTGCACCGAACCTTTAACAAAGCAGGAACACCGACAAACTGTGACAACACTTCCTGTTCATTCCTCAAGATAAGGAATAAAATGCACAGGTTTCAGGTTTTACCATGTTTTAGCAGGTTTTTCTTTTAAAACAGCCTTTTCAGTTTCATTTCAACATGTCTCCTTTAATAGACAAAGTAAACAATTCTTTTCCCAGATAATATTAAATTGATGAATAAAATGTCTTGATATTTAAAACAAATGTTTAAACCTCATCAGTGTAACAATCTCCAAACATTAGGAGCGGTTTTAAATTTCTGAAATAAGACAACAGCATTTTTCTTAAACTTGTCAACATTTCAAGCAGCAGCTGAGATTTTGGAAACACCTGTAAATTTTGGGATTATGTACGACCCTGTGGGAATCGCAACCAATCAGATGTAGTTAATACCGTAATCCAATTTTCAGCTCTAGAAATGCAACTGGTCAACCATATATGAAGACTGCGAATTCAAAAGATTCCAATTAATATAAAGCCACTGTATACACTGGTATATGTTATCTGTTTTTTTTAGTGTCCTGGTCTAAGTTGTTGAGTTTTAGACACACGTCACTGGAGAAAGTGCAGTGTAATAAAAGCTGAAGCAATGGCCAATGTTACTCCTGCAGCGACTAACAGAGGTGGCTCTACATGTCCACAGAGGACAACCAGCACTGGAAAGTCTTACATTTTGTACAAGACTCTGAATCCATATAAAATAACAAGAAAACCTGGATCTCTGCAGCACTACATAATCATGCTTTGTTTGGTTTTTTTCCTAAATCATCAGCAGAGCCAGAGTGCTCCACCTGGGCAAATCAGGCAAGCTGGGAGCCTTATTATAGCTGACACCAGTTTGGCAGAGGCCACGTGAAATTTTTCCACAGATGATTGGAGGACAGTGAGCACGGTCCACGAGAACAGGGAGCACTCGACTCTGAGCCACACCATCACGGCCACGGATCACCATAATTGAATATTAAAACCTAAACAGGTTAAAGCAGTGAGGCTTGCCACGGGGGCACACCGCAGAGTCCTGGGTCCAGTTTCAGGCTGTTTTTGGTGTGTGCAGCACTGGTCCACTTTGCAAAACAAATAAGCCCGGAGCTGGTAACTCTAGACCTGATCCTGGGACTGTGGCCAGCTGCTGCACATTCCACATGCCAGCCATTAAAATACCTGAGAGAATCAGGCCCCGGCACTACATCCAGTCCTACACTCTGCAGCTCCCTCTGCCCACCACCACTCTCGCCTTTCCACAGCTCTGACTCATAGCTCAACCACAGCTTGGGCTCCTCCTCAACACACTGATGCAGGAGGAGGCAATTACGGCCTCAGCGCCCTCACCATCTGGATGGGGAGGGGCGATATATATTGAGTAAGTGCCACTACACCTGATCAGAGATACACTGCCAGGTCCTTCCCAGAAAAAGGTCAGTCTATTAAAGGAGAACACCTGGGGGTAAATGTGATAGTAAATCCCAAAGGATTGCCTGCAGAGACAAGAGCCTCAGCTCAGACAGAGCTCAGCTTGATGGAGGAGGATGAATGAATGTATAAAGGGAGCAGCAGTTGTGATTCTGACTGCAACTACTGATGGTTTTTACTATATATGTGTCAAGTGTTGTTTCCATTAGAAGAAAATCAGGAAAAACTTGAGTCCAAGGCAACATCTTCAGACTGCTTTGTCCAAGTAGCCTAAAAACCAAAGATTTCTAGTTTGCCATCTTTTAAACAGGAAAAAAGTGAACTCTTCACACCAGGAACTAGAACTTTTTGCTCAATAAATGATTTATTAGTCACTCGTCCCTCAAGTGATCAATACTTTTCAGCACTAGTTGTGGTTCCAGCGGGGCTGTTGTCATCTGGAGCAGAAGTGTGATGATATATCCAACAGTGGTTGTTTCAGCTACATGATTAATCACTTGGTTTTAATCACTTGGAATTTCAAAGACTTGAACCAGTGTGTGTTTGGCATTTTTGTGTAATAAACAACTTAACAATCAACAGTTGTGCAGCTGATTAAGAAGTGCCACGGTGGAGGGCGATGAGAAAGACAAGGAGGAAACAGCCAATCACAAAACAGAATAAGAACACCACCGTTGCCCCTGTGGGTGCATCCCACTTAACGGATCAAGACAGCATTGCCATGGTGATGAAGCGATGCCAAACATATTTGAGATTGCTCTCACTGATGAATTATAACAACAGACTACACCCGTCAGAGACTCTCTGAATGCAAAGAGCTCCAGAGTCTGGCACCTCAAAAAACAACTGAACACAAACGGACTTACGGAGTGCTTACCTCTGCTGGGCGCACTTATCAGCTTCAGACTTTGTTTCTGTGCATGAACATGGTCTGCAGCACAAGATATTAAAGCTCATTTTTCTTCCTGAGCAAATGTTTTGCAGTGAACCCAACTGGTCCTGTTTGATTTGTACTCCCTGTGTACCGCATGAAGCTGTATTAATCATTCTGCAGATAGAGGAGCCAGCTGAGTAATGGGGCCCTGGCGAAGAGCAGCTGGGGAGGGAGAAGAGGGGAGGCTTGGGGGAGAGTGGTGGAGGAGGGGGAGTGTTGTGATGTGTTAATAAATAAAAGGCAGTTGTATATGATGTTGACAGCTGGGTGGTCTGCTCCTCGTCATAACCCTCCATGGCTACTCCTTACATTCCAGTGTCCGGGGGCTTATCCCCGACGGCGCGCACAAAGCTCACTCTCATGCTCAGGCACAGTTCAAGGCTCAGGAGGAGGGCGGCCTTGTCCAAGCCCCTCCTACTGGCCCTCAGAAAAACACAAACATTCACACTCAGGGCAAGGACTCCCTGTAGACACAGTATGTGCAGGCCTGCCGAGATCCCGCCTGGTAAGATGCTTTAACTCTTTGCAACAGTGGCAAGAATTTCTGTTAACAGGTTACAGTGATTTTCTCAAATTGCTCCCCTTGATATCTATCAGGTCTTTGGCATTCAGTGTAGTAACTCATGCTGTTAGGTTAGTCATGACTGCAAAGTGTTACACAGTGGCAGTGGAGATCCAGTTTTACCTTGCTGTGAGCATTGTAAAAGGGGCATTACTTACTTGGGAACATAGAGTTGAATTAATTAACTAAAAATTAAGCAACAAAAATTTTGAAATACGAGTCTTACTCATTGTATTTTGAATATTTTAAAGCTCTGGTCTGTTGGAGATCTTTGATTCTATGAACTTGAGAGGGGCATCCTTCGCTATCTTCAGACATCATATAGACTTACTGTTTTTGTTTTAGCACTCAGTGGCTTTAAGGGTTTATTTATTATTAATACAAGCTGAATCGATATAGCTCCAGCCAAGTAACAAATCAATAACTGATCCATACCTGATTGTACCATAAGTGTTCCATATGACTGTGTCGAGCCAATCCCATTGTCCAGCAGACACTGATAAACTCCCTCATCTTGTGCCGTGATTTCTGTAATAACCAGAGAGGATCCAGAGATCTGAAAGCGCTGCGATGGGGTGATGGGATCAGCGTTGAACAGCCAGGTGATGTTTGGGGAGGGGTTTCCTCTCGCTATGCAGGCAAAACGAGCAGAGGAGCCAGGAGAGACGAGCTGCTTGGTCAGGCCTTCCATGATAGACACAGGCTCTGTGGGGGAATGGACGAAACATTAAGCTCACCACGAGGATCTGCTGCCAACAGCCCCCACATAAACACCCTTCCTAGTCTGCTTCTCACCAAGAATATTCACAGTATAGTTGGCACTGATCACAGTCCCCTGCTCAGTCTCAGCAGTACAGATGTAAGTCCCTTCGTCGCTCTGTGCCACCGTATCAAAGGCTAGGTTGTTGTACCGTCTTCGGTGAGAAGGCCCCAGTGCGACCTTCTTACCATTCTTAAACCATGTGGCAGCCGGTGCAGGACTTCCAGACACGATACACTCCAGAGTCAGCGGCTGCGACTGCTGCACTGAAACAGTCACTGGGGCGGCGGGGTACGCTATCCGCACTGAGGCGGAGGAGTCTGAATCTAAACAAACAAGCCATGTTAGTAGATGGTAACAGAGAATACAGGAAAACTTCTGAATCTCCTCTGACTTACATTTCACTGATAGCTTAGTACCATGAGGCTGCATGACAGTTTTCCCAGTAACAGGATTGAATGCGCCACATTTATACATGCCCTGATGCTGGGATGAAACAGAGACTATCTGGAGGTTTCCAGACGGAAGGACTAAATAGTCATCTGAAAAAGAGGAGGATTAAAAAAGTTTCAGTAATAACACAAACAATGTGCACAGCAATTACACAGAGAAACCATTCATTGACAAAATAAATTCTGTGGAAAACACTGACAAATTAAGAGCAGTTCTCACATTGATGTTCATTCATTTACAATATTGTGCATAAACACCAACAAAAAACATTAACTGTATAAACAGTAAAGGTGAGTTTTTTAAACTGTGCTATTGTCTCTTATTTAGAAAGATCACCAAACTCTGACTTGAAGTCATTCAAACCCCCCAAAAAAACAAACTCCACACGTATTCACTGGTTTCAAACATGCTGTACCTGTTGACACTTCTATCCACTCCCCTTGTACTCGTAGTTTAGGAACGGCTGGAGGGACACTGTGTGGTAGAGGACACTCTATAAGAACAGTGCTGCCTTCCTGCACTGATAACGACCGCCGCCTGCCATCTTCATATTCCGATATTTCTGCATGGACAAAGACATAAAAGGCTTCTTTAGTCATAGATTTACTAGGCATTTACTGGTAAATCATCTTATACTTCTATGCAAGAAAGCGCACTCAAAGCTCTTTATAGTATTAAACCATTCGCCTACTGGGAGTAAATTGGGGCTCAGTGTCTTGCACAAGGACACTTTGACAGTAAAGCCGGAGAAGCCAGGGATTGAACCACCAACCCTATGGTGACAGGAGGACCTGCTCTACCTCCTGAGCCACAGCCACCCCTTAATATGTCATCAGTATCTTTGCAGTCAAGAGCAAAGGCCAGTTGCTCTTTGTGCTGGATCACTGTGTTTGTTTATTGTTGTAGTGAGTGATACAGTTCCACATCAGGGTCAGCCCCTTAGTATAATGTCCAAAAGCAAGCATCTCAGTAGGAGCAGAACACACTACACAGGAAAGCCCAAGGCTCATTAAGGATACTGGTCAAGAGGTATCTGGAAGGGAGCCCAAGGAAAAATTCTTAGTGTTTCCTTCCCCTCTACCACCCCGCACCAGGCAGCCGAGAACAGGCATTCCTTCTAAGTGTTCAACACTGACAAAATGGCCTTCCTTTTTCCAAGGCAACTTCCTCTCTTACTTTAGCCCTGCGCTTTGAAGTGAGAAGAAGTATTAGCAGAAGGGTAGTTCTCTGTATCCGTACCTGCTATGGTGACACGCGCCAGACGGCTGGCAATAGCTGGCCCGTGGTCTAAGCGTGCAGCACATTGATAGACGCCAACATGGCTGGGCTTAAGGGAGGAAATGGTGAGTGAGGCCCCGTTGAGCTCTACACCAGGCAGGGCGCCCCGGTCCAGGGGAAGGCCTCTGAAGCGCCAGGAAACCACAGCTGATGACGGACTCACTACGCAGTGCAGACGAGCGACAGAGTCTTGACCCTGGACCAAGGAGGCGGGCTCAGAGCGGAAAAAGGGATACTGAGCTGGTGAGGAGACAGGAGCAGAGGAAATCTGAATTCATAGTTATGTTGTAGATGGTTTGTTAGAGCTCATCACAAACATATTCTCATGCAGTTAAATTCTCTGCAAAGAACAGTACAGTAGATGTACTTAAAAATCCAAGATCCACATATTTCCTGAAAAAATTTAAATAAAACTGTCTGTATGGATATGAGAGGAGTGAGAAATAGTGAACTGACCCTTTAAATGTGCAACATGTCAGGTTCTGAGATACTGACTGATGTTTTTGCCATATAATCAGTAAGACATGGCTACGATTAGTCCTGATTAAGTCTGGTTTTCAGAAGGCACTAACCCTTGTTCTGCTTGCTGTGGTGACAATCATGACATCTCTGGTTCTTTAGCATTTTAGTGTTCAACAGCCCATACCTAAACCAACACCAGGCATTTAAAAACATCATAGATAATTGGAAATCAGCAAGAAGCTGAGCAAGCCCCAACATCCATATGAAATGAATAGAAGTCCTCCTTTAGTGCTGCTGAAAACTATTTGGTTGTTACTGATGATACTGGATGATTCACTTTCTACAGGGCTTTTCAGAGCCATTTCGCTGGAAGCAGCTTGTTGATACTACTTGGAGTTGATGAAAGAGTCATTTGCAGGCCAAGAAGCCAAAACAAGATGCTAAAAGATGCTGAAAAGCTGCTTAGTGCTGCAAAGCAGGTGGTCAATCTCAGTTCATTTGTCACTGTGACCGGCTCCATTATTAACATAAGTATTAGTTACTGGGACTTAAGTAAATATAAGCTAGAGCACAAATAATACAGCTGCTGTCACTTCTAGGAGGATTTTTCAGGAGAAAAGATCTCACCGCATCTCTATCAGGTTTAGAGTGGGACAGCAACTTACATGAGCAGCTGATAAGCAGAGACTGGCTGAGACACAGCACAGTGGACAGGAGGACCCTTAGGCCACTGTCCATGGTGCCCTTTGACCCCTGTCAGCAGCCGTGTTGCCGGGCACGGACGCCCTCGTCTGTTCAGCAAAACTGCAACACACAGAAGAGGAGAAACTGATCAAACCAGAGCTTTGCTTGGAAACAGGACAGGATTCACATTAGCAAAAAAGCAGTGCAACACAAGTAAATGGTAAAACAAGCTGGAGGAGGATGTCAGAGTTTGGTCTGAGCACAAAAAGAAATCTCTTAAATGAATCTTGTAAGACAGTCATTCTAATCCTCACGACATCCTTTTTACACAGTCCTTGATCTCCACCTTGGACCCTCTCCTCTGACCCCTCTTCTCACCCACTTCAGTGTCTGGCCCCAGCCACTCTGCCCCCTGGTTCTCGCTCCCACTGGGCCGCTGAGATCTCCTGCTAATGGAGTGGCTGTGGAGAGACTGTCGCCCCACTCTTTATATCACTCTCTTGTCACACTGTGTTGCTTCCTCATAGGTTCACTGTACCCTGAAGTGCAGGCCCAGACACACAGAGGGAGACAAGAGAAGAGCCAAAGGGAGAGATAGAAAAGGAGTGGAGGGTACGTAATTAGGAGCATTCCTCTATCCTTTTCAACCCGACCCCCCTCCAAGTACAGCACCTCCTCCTCCTTTTCCTATGAGTAATCCGGGCAAGCTTTGATCCCAGGTTCCTGGTTGGTAACCAGGGCTTGAGCCCGAGGCTGGAGGGACAATGGCTGCCCAGCTGTGATATTCACACTGGCGCTTTGGTGAATCGCAGACATTAGCGGAAGGGCCAACCGGGGCTGAAGGGTGGGTCAAATTAAAAGGTTGATGTCTGGGTGGGATCGGTGAAGCTGAACAGGTTTCTAACCCTCATTTTCTAACCTAAACATTGTTTCATATGTGCGACAATCAAGCAGGTCAGTTTGTTTGGCCTCCTCTGGCTGCAGCTAGTAACGGTTTTGAGTGAACAGTTATTCCCATTCTCAATGAATCTGTTGATTCTCTTCCCTAAAAAAATGGTGAAAACTGCCCAAAACAACTTAGACTGAAAAGTTGACCTCTTCAAATTGCTTTGAACAGTCCAAGACCCACAGTCAATTTACAATTATATAAAGCAACGAAAACAATCAAAACAATCACATTCTGCATGTTTGCTTGATAAATGAACTGAACGATTAATCAAGTATCAAAACTGTCGTCGAATCTTCTTCTGATTGTTTCAGCGCTAACTGTGTGTGTCATGCCAGTTACAGATGCTTTATTCATGTACTCCCTCAGAAGGCATCCTGAGAGGAGGAGGAGAGAAGAGGCAGGAAATAATAAACTCTCCCATCTCCTGGCTCACGCCTCCTTCCCACCCTGAGGCCAAAGGTTAGGGAAGAGCAGAGAGAGGGAGAGAGAGAGAGAGTGAACCAGCAGGTGTCGGGTGGCCCTGGGACAGTTCCCGGGGGTCACCTCCAGCTCACACACTCAAATTATCACAGTTTTTACACACATTACCAAATATTCCACACAAAATAGATGTAAAAGTGCTTCAAAGAAAGATTTTAAATTGTTAAAGACAAACATCTTTCTTTCTTATGGGTTCAGATTTCACTTTCTGATTCAGATTCTGACTGAACTGCAACCAAAACACATTTTGACTTTAGGATTGTACATGCATTATTTATGTGGTGGTCTGCATTTGAGGCTCCAGTTTAAGTGTGAACATGCTCATTCAGGCACATCAAACCCACATCTTGCTAGGCTAGCATTTCTCTATACCACAAGTTTCAACAGGCCCTGCACACTGCCCCTATGTCAGAGGAAACTCTCCAACTCTCTCTCTTTGCCGGAATAATGATATATAATTACAAAAATAAGAACACCACTATATAAATGCACAGCTAAGCGGGGGCAAATCTGCACATAGTGAGCATGACAAACTAGAGTAGATTCAGTAACACCCTCTGTCTGTGTCTACCTTTATTTATCTTTCTTGTTTCAACCAGTTACTTCCTCCCAGTGGTAGCAGCAATCGGGCACTACAGGTCCAACTGGGTGCCCCTGTGTAAACACACACACACACACACACACACACACACACACAGCTCCCTATCTCGCCCATCAATC